AGCCTGTGGGGTGTACTGTCAGACAGCGGGGTTGGCATTCACCCACGGTTTAGAAATTGGGTGATATTGGGCCAGTTGCATGACTTCTTTGAGCCTCAGTTTCCTCATTGGTAAAATGGAGATACAGTTATCCCTAACTCACAGGTTTGATCAGAGCGGAGGGAAATAATGATGTGAAAGTGCCTAACCGACCACAGGGAGCCAAAAGCATATACATTCTAAAAACCCTTTTAGTAATTTCTAATCTCTTGGCGGTTTTCTATTGCTATTCCGTATTCAGCCGGTGGAAAAATGAGTGTTCCCAGTTTTTCTGCTGTATCGGTGTTTTGTAAGTTATCTTCTGTCCTGTGTGTCTGCAGTTTGGGGTTTTTTACCTCTAAATCAGAATAAAATTGATTTATTAAGCTATTTTTCTAAATGGTCATTGTCATATAAAAAGTCCGAATTTTCAGCCTGGCCAGTGTGGCTCAGTGGTTGAGCGTCGACCCATGTACCAAGAGGTGGCCAGTTTGATTCCTGGTCAGGGCACAAGCCCAGGTTGTGGGCCCGATCCCCAGTGGGGGGCATGCAGGAGGCGGCCAATCGATGTTCTCTCTCATCGATGTTTCTATCTCTTTCTCTCCTTCTCCCTTCCTCGCTCTCTAAAAATCAATAGAGAAAAAAAAGTCCAAATTTTCCAGAGCAATAACAGTTCCACTGAATTTAATGTCATCATCAGATGTGACAAACATGTCCTTAATTCCTTTCCCCAAGTTTCACGTCATCTCCCAGCTTTCTTCTCTCCCTTCTCTTTCAAACAAAGAAACAGCCCTTGTTTTTTAAGAAGTACCCTTCGAAGAGGCAAAACAAGCTGCAACCTTAGATTTTTGCCTCATACCACGGTGCCAGAGAAGAACACAGGCTGGGCTCCCCACCGCCTGTGAAGTCACGTGGCGTGATGTTCCGAATCCATTCTTTCCTGCCTAGGTATTCCGGACAAGCGTTTTACCTTCCTGTCAAATTTAGGACAATAACAATGCCTGCACTGTAGAGTCATTGTGAAAATGGAATAAGATAATGTATGTAAATGTTCTGGGCACAGAGTAGCTATTTGATAAATGTCAATTCTTTATGCCAATGTGCCCCTCCCGCAATCAAGGTCCTTCTAAAAAGTGGCCTCTCTTGTAGGAACGTGGTCTCTTCACCTGATAGTAGTAAATCTTGCCTTTCAAAACAATTATATACAGAGCACTTTACAAGTTGCAGAATGCTTTTCTCCATTATCTCATTTGAGTCTCATAACCACGGGCCATCTCTCTCCTGGAGATGAGGAGATGGAGGCTCAGAGCCGGGCACCCTGTGAAACTGCACGCAGCGGGGGTGGGGGGTGGGGGGTGGGGCAGCCCTCCTCCTTCTTCTGGGAGTTGGGAAGCTGGAACTATTCTCCCCCACTTACAGAGGAGGGAGTTTATAAACACACATGCCCTGATATTTCCTGGGGGTCATTAGGGCAGCCAAAGCCAAAATCTAATCAGGAATTTTTCCGGGCCCGACCAGCTCTGCCCAACCAGTTGTAAGTGTAAGAAACGGGGCTTGGAAAAAAGACAGGGACTGGGAACTATCAGACCGTGGGGGGATAGCATGCACGTTTTCTGGAAGTCATCACGCATGATACGTTAAACACTTCTAAGTCTGTAACAAGGCACTTCTCAATGTCCCCACTTTGGAGAAGCCGGGGAAAGGGGGTGCCCGGGGAGTTAGAGCCACTTGGCTACCAGCTCTGTAACTTATTGACTCTGGGTTCTCAGGCCTTGAGCTCCTCCTCTGTGAAATGGGGTAATGATAGTGACCCCCTCAGACTGGTCCCCAGGACTGACTCAGGGGTGGCGGGAGAAGGACTGAAAGGAAGCCCTGGCACACAGAAAGAACGAAGAAACGGTCGGCTGCAGGGCCGCAGGGCCCGGTGCCTCTCTGCGCGAGCTGGCCGTGTCCCCTCGAGTCTCAGGCTCCTCGTCTTCTAATGGGAATCACAGAAATACTACGTGCCGTGTGGGTTTAAAAATAGGATTAAATAAGAAATTATCGGTACAGTGTTTAGAAGAGCACCTGGCACCTAGTAAGTGCTCTATAAATGTTCATTGTTGCTCGTTTAGATGATCGTTTCCTTTCCCTTTCCTGGTGTCTGTGGCATTTTCTGCTCCTGTCTGGGCGACGGGAGTTTGCGCTGAAGACCACAGTGAGTGACAGGGGGGCTGGCCGAGGCCTCTGCGGGCCCAGCGCCCTGGCCTGGCTCCTGCACAGCCGCGGGCCTCCGGCCCTGCCTGCTCCGCGTAGGCCCAGGGGCCTGCGGGGCCCCGTTCTGGAGCTGGCTTTGCGGTCAGGCAGCCGTAATCTGTCCCTTGAGCCACACCAGAGTCTCATTAAAACGTGCCCCATAAATGTTAAAAAATTTACACATAAAAAAATTCCATGCATGAAACTGAAACCGTAGGTTTTACAGCCTCGGTCTGAAATCTTGCATAATATATAAAACCTCGGCCCCGCACTGGGGGCCCGTAAATCAGATTTTATAAAACAAAAAGCTTTTACCTTTCAAAGGGGTTTGGGGAACTTGCAAATTTTACAAACTTTACCAACTGCCAGTCAGAGGCTGTTGGACCCGAGCAGGGGATCAGCAGGCCGGGTAAGAAAGGGGCCTGGTGAGCAGAGTGAGCGTGGGAACTGGAGGGGAGCAGCTCCGGGCTAGCCAGGGGCACTCCAGCCTGGCCACCAGCGGGGGAATGGGAGGCAGAGGGTCTGAGTGTGGGGGCCGGGCGAGGTAGGGGTGCTCTTGTGGGGGAGGGCTTTATTGCCCCCAGGGAGAAGCGAGGTGGGTGATGTAGTGGGGGGAGCATTGCATTAGGAGCCGGCAGACCCGGTTCCGGTCCGGAAGTGATTTCCCTTCTCCGGACTGCGCTGTCCTGTCTACAAAGGGACGTGCTTCTCTCTGCAGCGGTGACTCCCCTACCACGCCGGGGAGCAGCTGGCTAACGGGAGGGGAAGTTCCCTCCGAAACTGCAGTCAGGGAACCTCTCTGATCTTCGGGCAGCTCTGGGAGAGCCCAGTCAGCCGTTCCCATGGGAACTTGTCTGGGGAACTGGTCTGGGAGCAGGGGGAGGTACAACATGCAAATTGCTTGGAGGAGGGAGGCTTCCTGTCTAGTGGTGGGCTGGGGTGGGGAGGGAGGGGGGCTGGGGAGAAAGTGAGATCAGAGCTGGAGATCCCAGGGTGGGACAAACTTTAGGGGACCCCAGTGTCCTCCTGACAATTCCATCTGTGAAAGTCAATATTCAAGGGCAGAAGAAAGCTGCCCTGACACACACATATATATAAAATAAATCTCTCAATTATCTCAGCTCATTTGCTTGGGGTCTCTCATTTTATGTCCCTGCTCCGCTGCGCAGTATATCTGTCCGGGTAAAGAGTTACAGTCCGTTGGGCTACGTGTGCGGGGTTGTAAAAAATACAGATGCCAGATTAACTGGCTGTGGCACTCGGCGGCTGATCGAGCTGATAATGACGCGATCTGACCTTTTTCTAATTTCTAATTATGTGCATCTCGGCTGTGCTGGCTACATGATTCTTGTTCTAATGAGGGCTCCTGTGGTTGGCCTCTCCGTCGCCCCCTCGCGACACAGGACTACGAGCCGGGCGGCAAAGGGCACTGCTCCTCTCTCCTAGTAAAGTTTCGGGGCCAGGAGGTGAGGCTGGGGGGCCCAGGACGCCTTGCCTTAGCGACACTGCGTCTGAGACTAACCTTCTGGAAGACACGCATTCTTAAAGGCCATTTAGTTCCACAAGCTGTCTCACTAATGTTTTTATTATAGTCACTTGAGATCGGCGTATTAGGTCTACAGGTGAGGAAACCGAGCTTCAAAGGGGTGAAGCCGGTAAAGTCACACAGCTGGGAACCCGTGAAGCCAGCCTCTGTCTTTCATCTCTAAATGCGCCTTCGACGGCCCTGAGAGTAACTGACCAGTCATCAGGGCAAACGCTTCGTCAAGGATACGATTGGCTAACGCCCGACACTGACACAGAATGATGTCGAATACAAACTGTACTCGAGAAGCGTGTTTAAAAATCACAAGAACATAAAATAATTGACCAATCTACAAGTCGTGACTGTGGCTAACTCACCTAGGTAAATCAGGTCCACGTGAGTGGAAGGGGTGTCCAAGGACTGCCCCGTCAACTAGACCGCTCCCAGCCTGGTTACCTGAGAACAGGGAACGCCAGAGGGCTGGGGCTGCGGTGGCAGCTTCTGCAATATCCACTTCCCTAGGGCAGGCTTGGCACACAGCAGACACTGAACCAAGGTTTCCTGGACTGAATCAGCAGATCGGATTACTTGAGTGAGCAGACCCAGAGAGACGCAGGTAGTGTTGGCAAGGGGAGAGCACAGAGCTGGACACTTTTTGGCATCTTCCAGGCTGTACTGGAATAGGAGGCTGCAGTATGATAGGGATGACAAGCTAGGTTTGAATGCCTGATCCCCTGCGACCCCCTAAATGGGCAGGACATCCGCTAGCCTCCTCCTCAACGTGACTGTCTGCAGGTCTTTCTGTCTACTGATGTGCTTGACTATGCCTGTCACCTCATCCTCCACACCGCAGCTGCCCTGCCGGACACAGTTACTGACAGGCCAGGACTGCAGCCCTCAGCACCGCTACCGCAGACGTTCTGGGTGCTATGACCCTCCTCTCCTCCTGCCGGCACTGCAGGAGGCTGAGAGGCGATGCTGGTGCCGCAGTGGGCAGAGACCAGAAATGGGGAGAGCTTTGGCAGCAAAACCTGTGCCTGCAGCTCTTGGTTTAAGGAACTTAGAAATGGTTCTCAGGTGCTAGAGGAGCATCGAGTGCCCGCCCCACAGTGGGCACACAGCATGTTTTTGTTGAATGAATGAAAGGATCATTTCTAGGGCATTCGGAGGAGACCCCGGGGGAGGAAAACCCTAGCTGGGGTGGGGGTTGGAGGGTCTTTACCAGATTGTCCAGTTCTGGGTCATCGCTGAAGAAGGGTTTGTGCTCCTGCTCCTGCTGGTGGACAAAGTTCTCGATGTCCACATCAAAGCTGGCGGAGGTGATGCACTCAGAGCCCTGGGTGGCCTGCTCGCATTTCTCAAACAGCAGCGTCAGGAGCGGGAAAAGAGGGTGCCTGTGGGGACATCAAGAGCTCACACATGCGCACACAGACACCTGCAGCTGGCGGGCTCAGAAGCCACCAGGCTCCCTGTCCCATATTCCCAGCACTTCTTCTCCCAAGGTCCCACTCCATGAGAACGTCCCCAGTCCCCACGATCAGCCTTGATGGCAGCACTTCATGTCCTGGTGGGGAAGATCTCGTCTCCTGTCCCTGGGGCCTCAGCAGGCTTGTATTCCTCCCCACGGTGCCTAACTTTGCTCTTTGGTAAGGTAAGCCGCATGGACAGTTGATGACGGTGAGGGGTGTAACCTCAGAGAAGTAGGTGGCCATTTCTGGTGCAAAAGAAAATGTGGAAAGTGTTCAGACGAGCCCCGGACAAGAGCATTAGTGGTTGGTCACAAACCCATTCTCGGCTGTGTGGAGCCAGCTGAGGCAGCAGCTGTGTGTCTGTGAGTGTACACAGGGGGTGTGTGCGAGCCTGGACTCTGGTTGCACGTGGTGGGCAGGTGCCTCCACCTGTCTGGCATCTGTGAGCTGACTCAGTTCAGGTCAGACACCCCGTTACAGGAATATCATTTCCTGCACTTTTCCATCAACACACACCTAGCACATCTGTAATGATCATTTGCATTGTTATTTGTTCACTCTTTTCCTCCAGGACTGTCCCTGTCTTAGACCATTGTATCCTTGGGGCCTTGCTTATAGCAGGCACTTGCTCCTCAGTGACTGACAATGGATTAGGGAATGAAGAGTATGTGAGTGAGCACGGGTGGGGTGGGGTGTTTCTGTGATGTAGTATGCAGCTGAAGCTTTCCCTGGCTAGCTCTGTGGGTCTCGGCTGAGACAGCACCCTCTTTGGGGAGCTCCTTGATGCGCCTCCCTCACACTACGCTGATGGCTCCCTGAGCTCTTTGCTTGATCACCTGGCTTCCTCACTAGACTGAGCTACACGAGGGCAGGAAGCAAGCCCACCGTATCCATCCTGGTCTGTTCAGAGTCCAGCAGAGGTGTGTGGATCCCAGTAAATGATTATGGACTACATATGTGTTATGTGTGTGTGCGCCCACTTGCATACATAGGTGCATGGCATTCTTACTTCTCCACGGCATCTGTGAATTGCTATGTCTTAACACCCAGCATGTGTGCATGTTTGTACGGGTGGCTGACATTGGACCCTGGAGCCCCATTCCCTCCCATGGTGGTCCCCCAAAGCACCTGCACATCCCCCTCTGGTTTCTTTTCTTAGTCCCCTGGGACCACAAAATCTAGCCTTTTCTTTTTGATTAAGCCCTGCTTGCCCGGACAGGAGGAAGCTAGTGTGTTGGGCCTGGCCCCCAGGCCTCTGCAAAAGGGGGTGCTCTGGCCAGCACTGTCTAGTACAATTTCTGCAACAATGGAAATGTTCTACAATGTCTGCTGTGCAACATGGTAGCCACGAACGGATTGAGGCCAATGGACATTTAAAATATGACTATTGCCCTTGCCGGTGGCTCAGTTGGTTGGAGAGCATCGTCCCATACACCAAAAGGTGGCGGGTTCAATTCCCGGTCAGGGCACATACCTAGGTTGTGGGTTCGAGCCTTAGTCGGGTGCATTTTGGAGGAAACCAATTGATGTTTCTCCTTTCCTCTCTCTCTAAAAATCAATAAACACATTCCCTCAGGTGGGGATTTAAAAAAATATGACTGTTGTGCCTAGGGTACTAAATTTTTTATTTTATTTCATTTTAATTGAATAGCCACATGTGGCTAGTGGCTACCACACCCGAAAACACAAACTTGAATAGGAAATGATGGTGCTTCCCCAGCACACTGCGGTTAAACACACCGCAGGAGAACTGAACACCCTCCCTACCTGTGTGCAGGTCGACGGGAACCCCACGAGCCTGTCCCACTTGGGGATTCTAATAATTCTAGGCAAAAAGACAGAGGTGCTTAGCCCATCCACCTTCAAACCCATGCACGCTGGTCATTCTACTGAGGCCCAGGGGCAGTGGGGGACGAGGGGGGATAGTCCTACTCAGATGAGCTGCTTGCTGAGCAGAGCCTGCCCTGGACACTGTCTCCCCAACCCTTGTTTTGGGAGCAGATGCATAAGCAGGTGGGCCCCAGGCTGCAGGCTGGGTTTTCGTCTGGAAGGAAAAAAGGGTCAATATCTGAGGGTGGCCCATCTGCAGCCCCGAATCTCTAGAAGATTTATTCAGCCACCCCCCCCCCCCGCCCCCAGGAAGCTGAGGGAAAACAGGGGGTTGACTGAGCCATCCGGCTGAAGACAAAGAGGACCAGGTGGAGGGTTAAACTCCAGTCTCAGTCATTTGCAGCCACTAATACCGCAGCATATTATGGCCTAATCTAACCTGATCCCAGTTTAATGCAAGACTCTCCTGGCCCTGAGTGGAATACCAAAGAAAGCCTCGGTGGCTGTAATTTAAGCAGAGCCTGCAGTGGTTCAGCTGAGGGACATGAAAGGCAAATTCCAGACGGTGTTATGAATTATTGCGCCTGATGAACCTTCCTACTCTCAACAGATGCCTGCTGCCATTTAAACAGCCACTAGATCAATTAGGAATGAAAGGCACAAATCGACTCTGTACAAGGGCACTAAATTACCAGGAACTAATAATCCGCAGCACCGTGCCAGGTGGCGGGGTGCACCCCCGCCGGTCACTGCTCGCTCCCTTCTCGCTCGCTGGAGGGAGGGCGGGCAGCTGCTGGGGGAAGAGGGGGCAGTCTGTGTGCACGTGCGTGCGTGTGCACCTGCCCACGAGAGCTGTGCGAGTGTGCTCTGTGTTTGCGCTGTGTGCACCCTGTGGGATCTGTATAGTGCGTATGCCTGTGGGCCGTGTGTTTGGGGTGCAGAGTTTGCGGACTGTGAGTGGCGGGTGCGTGTGCTCTGTATTGTGTGCAGCAGGTGCGCCTGCACCGTATGTCTTCTGTAAGTGATTTGTGTGGGGTGGAGTGTTCTGTGTACACAGCACACGCAGCGTGTGCGGTGGGGGAAGAGGGATCTGCAGGTGGCTGCGTCCCTCACATACTAGCACTAGAGCTGGGGTGGGGACAGGAGGGTGGTCTCCTCTGACACTGTCCTTGGCCCCTGCAGGGAGGAGAGTGGTTATGGAGGGCCTCTCTGAGGAGGCAACATTCAAATTAAGCCTTGAATGATGAGGAGGCAGTCATGCAAAAATCTGGGGGTGGGGGGACACTGCCATGTACCCGAAAACAAAGTGCACCTTTCATGCAGAGCCGCAACGGGTCTGTTTTGCAAACTTCTCAATTCCAGGCCTCAGATCTCTCCAGAATGTGTGTGGGGGCCATATCTGAGGGTGTTTTCTAGGGCTTCTGCTTTCTCTCAGAAGAAAGAAACGTGCCTACCCCCCAACAAGTAACCCAGGGCCCAGGGAGCACAGAGCAAGCTTCCCTGATGCTGGCAGGGGCCCTCCCCACCAGAACCACACAATCAGCTCCCAGTTCCTTCTCATACCCCGCCCTCGCCCTGGATCCCCGTGCCCGGGAGTGCGAATGGCATCTGAGTGTAGTCACGGTTTTGCACATGGACCACAGCAGGGGCAGGAGGGCTGCCTGTGGCTCCCTGCTCTCCCCACCTGGCTCCCTCCGTAAATCCAGACTGTTACTTGCTACCTCCTACCTCAAGCACAGGGACCGCTGAGACACTCTGCACCACACCCGGAGAAACAGGCTCAGTTTCCCAATGACTGAGCCCAGTTTTGGCTGCAGCCATGCCATGGGCTTCTCTAAGGCTGTTCCCAGCCCCTTCCCCAGCTGTCCGGCCTCCAGCTGCCGAGTGAAGGGCTGACCTACATTTCTAAGCTACCCTCCAACATCCCCTCATAGGGCTGGAGATGAGGCTGGCAGCCACCTTCAAGGAGCCTTCTCCAGCAGCCCAGTGCAGGCTCCCGGAGGGGCAGGATGGGGTGAACAGGGCAGGGACCCTGGGAGCTGGGTGTCAGTCACTGGGGATATGCATGTCCCTGTGTGCACCCCATGTGGGATGGGAAGAAGGATTTCCAGTTAGGACGGGATACAGGCCTCCCCTGAGCTCCAGCTTGTCCAGCTGAAATGGGTTTTAAGTGGCCCCACGGTCACTGTCCAGATCTCTCCCACTGTGGATCGATCCTCCTCAGGGGCTAGAAGCAGGAATGTGGAAACTCGGTCCCAGGGCCTGAAGACAGTGAGCACGATGTGAAAGATGGTTGCTAGACCTCATTTCCAGAGGACACCTGACCTCCATCAGAGCTCACCTCCTCTCGCTGATCTCCCCTCTTCTCCTCCGTGTGCCTCCGCCCGACCGCCCCCTCCGCCCCAATCTCTCCTAAGCCGTTCAAAATTTGGAAGAAATAAATCTCACCGCACCAATTCAGTGAGAGTTTGAGCCTCCTCAGTGCAGAACAAATAAAAGGAGTGAACTGGCATGACATTTTACTGCAGAAGAGAGGTCGTTTCCAGCCACTAATAAAAAGGATTTGACACAGACTAATAAAGAGAAATGAATTTCTCTAATGGCCTAATTTAGCACACTCAGCACTGTGCCTGTGCCTGGGTGCTGCGCGGGAGCCGGAGGAGGGGCCGAGAAGTGATGATCTCAAATAACGTTCTTTCATTTCTCTTTTCTTTTCTGGGTCCCTACCCCACCCCACCCTCACCACCTCTCCCCAAGAGCATCTGAACCAAGATCAAGTTCCAGATCTGCAGTTCCCGTTAACAACCCGGAGAAACGAGGGGCCCCTCTCCGCAGAATCACAGTCGTGCGCGAGCTTCAGAAGTGATTAAAACGGATAAGTTGATTTCTACAGGGGTTTAAGCCATCATTTGGTTTAATTACTTCTGACATTTCTGCCTTTGTGTTTTTTACATCACCCAAACTCACTGGCCTGGTATGCCCAGTTTGGGGCCAGATGTATAGGAGCAGCCCCCCAACACCCTGGCCCCAAACTGAGTAGGATTTGGGCTGCAGCCCTTCATGGAGGTGACTGTCACTCTCTCTGTAGCAGTGGA